ATAACTGTACAAATGAAGCAAGGCGCAGAACTAAGTCCTGGAATACTTTTAAATAACTTACTGCAACTGTCATACTGACGAGGTCCTGTCGCGGTGTTGAGTTAAAACGTATATGACTTAATGGACCGAAACGTCTTACCTCACTCTTATCTCCTCCTCTCATACTGTAAATCTATATTTTGGCTTCCAGGGTCAACCTGGTTGCTACAATAGACTTTTAAAAAAACTCGCCATCAGCTTCTTCTAAAAAACAGCCCTCGAAAGAGGAAGGAAGCCATCAATACCCTTGCCAGCTGGTGGTTCCTTTTAAACTTGCCACTAGTTCAGGCTAAATCTTCCAGGTTTTCATCTCTATCAAAGGGATTTATTACGAAGCTGAAGTGATGGGTGAGCGAATAACATGGGTTGTGGGTCATGACCGAGGCATCGGCCATATAACCGAAGTGGATTTTTCGGTGATGGCAACATTCGCCGAGTTCTACGTAACAATGCTCGAATTTGTCAATTATCGGCTTTATCACTCAATTGGACTTTTCTATCCACCGCAGATTTCTTTCAAATCCAATAAGGTTGCTACTTTTTTATTAAACAAAAATATTGTTGTTACTTTAGAATTCTGTAGCACTGGACATAAACAGAAGTATTTTTCAACGAAAATATTAAACGAAAGTATTTGCCTTTACTATCCGTTGAAGGTATTGTCATTCGAAGCATTTTTCTTTTTTTTTTCTTTTTTTTTTCAGAATTCTGAGTTATTCTCGTTAATAGCATTTTAGCTTTTAGCCAGTCTTTCTGTTCCAATCATCAACCTGTTTTTAAGCATTTTTCGAAAGCAGACGCCGCTGGAAGTCTTAACACGTGGTGGATTTTGTTGGAACCTAATCAATTATTTGATTTTTATCGGAATCACCGTTTTGTATTTCCCGTGGAGGGTGAATGCTGAGAATTTTGAATTTTTTGTTTCAAAATGTGGAACTTGTATGTCACTTTTTGCACTTCTAGCAGAAAATTCCTTTCCCATCTGGTACCATGGTTTGTTTTAATTTTGGTCCTAACAGATATG